GTGTGCAGACCAGAACTGTCGTGCCCTGGGCTGCAGTGGGGAGTCGAGGGGGCCACAGCCCTGCCTGAAGGCCCTGATGACCCAGCAGGTGCCCACACCTCTGGGCCAGTGAAGTTCTACAGAACCCAGACTGCTCAGGCCCAAGAGACCACTCTGTACCCCCCAGCCAAGGCCAGTCCCACTGTCCCTTCTGCGGAGTGTTGGGGCCCAGGTGTACCTGCACACAGGCTGCATGGGTAGGAGTGTGAGCAATGGCCGCAGAGGAAGCAGATGGGTGGAGCAGAGGACGCTGGAAGCACTGGCGTCCTAACCGACAGAAACTGACCTTGTGCGCTGCTGGCGAAGGGTGAGCACGGGGCTTTCTGCACCCCTGTGTCTTGCTGGATTAATGTAGACTGCTTTGTTTGCAGGGCTTATTGTCATCCCCAAACCAGGCCAGTTCTCCAGGTGGAACTGTAGTGTAGCGATCCCACTGCGCTCAGACTCCCCGACGCGCGGGACTGCAGGGACCGAGGACGACGGACGGAGAGCCGCGCTGGAGCCACGCCAGGGTGGCAGGCCTCAGGCAGGCAGGCAGACATCTTGAGGGCTGTGCGGACCGGTGATGTGGCGCCGTGCCGCGCACTCTGCTGCCCGCCCAAAGAAGTTTCCATTTGAAGTCGGTCTGTTGGGGCTGCAGTAAAAATAAGAAATGATGTTTTCTTGCTTTTTACTCTAAAACTCGATGTAATGAAATCTCACACATATATAATATATACATATATACATAGTGTAAATAAAGTGCTTCTTGGACAGAGACCTCCTTGATTCAGCTGTTACGAGTAGTACTTCCCTCACTGGTTTTGCACTGGTTTTTTATACCTTGGGTGGTCAGAAGACAACCTAGAATGCACTCAAACAGAAAGGGTTTACTTTCTGACTTAAATGTGTAATTCAGGAAGGTGGACGCGGCAGTCTTACATGTTGAAATATTGTTTGCACTTCAATAGTTTAATGCTAACAGAAAATGGCTCTGAGTGTGGTGGATCCCTGGCCCTTCACGGTGGGAAGGGAAGACACCCTTTTTATCTGTTAATGTTTATTTTAATACTGTTGTTTCTAATGCAATCAACTCTGTATAATGTGTATATATAATGTAATTCTGCAACTGGGGGAAATAGCTACTTCACTAGTACTTTTCATCATTTAAGAGTGATATTTCTAATTTACAAGAAACATTAATATTAAAATTATCTTGAATATACTATTTGTTTATCTTCTGTTAAATTTGCTCAATTTTTAGCATGGTCTTTGCTGAATGAAGGGTTGGTATGGCATCAGGCTGTGCTTTGGAGTCCCCTCCATTGTCAGAGTGTGGCTCACTTGGAAGTGCTCGGGTTCTTTGCCCGCGAAGACTCACCCATGTGGCACTGTGGGCATCTGCCCGTGTGTGCAGAAATTGGTCTTAGCACGCGGGTCTCTTAGAGCTTGGAGCCCATCTCCTGTCCTTGAAAGCTGTGGCCGCACGTAACACAGCCTGTGAGTGTGAAGGTGCTCGTTAACTGTGACATGACTGCTCCTGGAAGAAGCCACAGGTGGCATACCTAGATGGCCAGGACCAGCTCAGGGCATCTCGCCCCTGTGCTGCAGCAGCTCCTCAGCTCCTCAGCTCAGCAGCCAGCAGGACGACTTACTCTTTGTTGTTTCTTTTCTTTTTTTTTTTTTTTTTTAATCTTATTCAGCTGGATCCTTCAGAAGTTTTATTTGGTGACACTAAGCCATCAAGTGTCTGGAACACATTGCTCTACGTTATCACATCAATTTGGGGAATGTTGAGGGAATTGGGGGCTTTTGACAGATGTACTGTATGTCCGTCTTCTCTGTGAATGCAGCAGGGGTGTGTGTCACTGCTTCAGAGCAGTTCACTGGGCTCAATCTTCCTGAGTTGGCTTCAGTTCTTCTCGGTTCTTAAGCTGCCTGCACCCAGGCTGGGGGTGTTGGCCTCACCTGAAGCTGCCACTGCCCAGGGACCTTGTGGGGGGACTTGCATGATGGTGTGAGCCTCTGGGAGGTGTAAATAACCAAAATACTAACATTTGCTGTCTTAGGTGAAAGAATTAGAATTCATAAAACATACACATTAAGAATGACAGTATTAAGGCTGGGGTGGTGGCTCAGTGGTAGAGTGCTTGCCTAGCATGTGTAAGGCACTAGATCCTCAGCATCACATATTCATAAAAATAAAGACATCGACAACTAAAAAAATTTTAAAAATTTATTTTAAAAAAGAATGCCCATATTAGAATTAAGTGTTAGCGTATTTGATGTAGTTTGCTGTTTCTATCAAAGCACTGGTTAGAAAACCCTAGAGGGCCCACGATGCCTGCAGGTACCTTGGAATGAGCTGCCTTTCAAAATCGAGTCTGGGATTCCTAATGTGATCATCTCCTGGCTCTGTTTCCTGTCAGAGGAAGTGACAAATTCAGTTGACATGGGGGCAACAATTACACACCATTTGGTCAGATGGTCCACAGTCTGGAGTCGTGTCACTTATGGTGCATGGCGTGGTCCTTGCAGTGCCTCAGCCCAGCCTCCAATGCCCTTTGTTGGGTCCTGGAATGGAGTTTGCACTTGGCCAGCTGCACTAAAGCTGTCGGATGTGTCCCGGCACACTGTGGATGCCTCTGTGCCAGGAACAAATCTTTCTGGCTCTGTTCCCAAGATTGGTTCCTGGCCAACGGTCCAAGATGGCTTCCAAGCCCTGACTGCCGTGGACACACAGCAGATCCTGACAGACAGCACAGGCCAGCCTCACGATGCGCCACAGGAGGTGGACTTGCTCAGCTTGCCTGGTCAGGTTCAGGTCTGCTGCTCCCGCCTCTGGCCTTGTGCTTTCCTACATGTGGTAAATTGGTGAATGTGGCACTGGGCATGGGGCCTGGGTACAAAGGAAGCTGGGGGGAGGTGGGCAAATGCAGGGTGTGGCATCCATCTCAAACCTAGCTGCCCCCATGCTGTGTTCATGGGTGGCCTGGCAAGGACTAACCCAGTAGGCCTTCCCATGGCGGGCAGCAGGGCAGGAGACAGCAGGACCTCATGTCTGCACCCCGTCTGTTCTGTGGGTGGGTTTGTGATACTAAGGACCATCAGCCTTTGAATCCTTAGCCTGGGATGTCTGCGTGCTTGCTCTGCCCCAGCCCAGCACCCACAAGCCCCACTCTGTGCCCTAAGATCTGAAGTGTGCCGTGGGCAGGAGAGGGCAGGCGCTCAGCAGGGTTTGGCGGGCAGTCATGCGATGAGTGTTCCAACTGGGTGAAGAGGTGGAGGAGGAAGCCAGCCTTCACCTTTCCAATTTGAGAGTGGGCAGAGACCCCACAGGACTCTGGGGTCAGGGTGGGGATGGCCTATGCCCTTCGCCCTGGTCAGCAGTTGCCCACTGTAGGGCCAGAGAGAACCACCAGGGTTGATGCCTCCTGGCTGGTGTGAGCTGCAAGGGAAATGCAGGAGCCCAAGGCTGGCCAACAAGAGTGTCCTGTCCAAATCCACGGAAACGGGCTTGTCCCCGTGAGGCTAAGGTCTGCCACATACAGGACCAGGGCACTGCTGCAGATCTTTCCACCAGAGACCAAAAATTTTCCCTTCATGGTTCATGTACTTAAAGGGGTAATGATCTTCCTACATATACAAATGCTCGTCTGTGCTGTAACCAGTCCTCGGGACAGCAGGGTGCCCATAACTGCAGCTCTCAGGACTTCTCCAGGCCCACTGCCTCCACCCAGGCCAAGTGGCCTACCTACCTGCCTTGCAAGTCCTGCTCCTCTGGCTTTTGCCTCAGGTCCTTCCTGCGCCAGCTAGCAGGACTCTGCCTCCTCCCTATCTGTGGACCCATCTCTGTGGCCTCCATCCCCTATCAGGACCCCTTCAGGGGCACCCTGAAGGTCATCACGGGATCACAAGTTTCAAAGAAATCTTGTCCTGCCCTTCCCCACAGGCAGCATCTCTGTCACCGTCACCTGCCTGGCCAGACATCCATGCCCAGGATTCTTCACCCATGTTGCCCTTGTACTGCCAGCTCCTCTTCTCTTGCCCCTGTCCCTCTGCATGGTCCCACGTTCACCCTCCTACTTCCATCTGTCCTGTACTTTCTGGGGCTGGGGCCACTGGAGAGACCTGGAAGGAAGGGTCACAGATTTACCTCAATAGAGGGGAAGAGGAGACTAAACACTAATCTGGTAAATTCAGTTTTCTTTTTAATATTGTGAGTTTGAGAAAATAGAATGAACATTCAATGACTAGGTTACATTTCAAGGCAGAAGGGGCTTAGCAGAGTCTGGGGTGCAGCTCGGCGTGGGGCACAGGCCTAGCGCAGTGAGGCCCTGCACTCCACCCCCAGCACCACACAGAAAACAAACGGCCTGGCGGGGTTCTGCTCCTGCCCCTAAGCAGCCTGCTAGTGCCTCACCCTGAGTCCGCAGAGCACCACCTTTTCTTGCCACGTTCCTGTCCCACCCCCACGGGGAGAGGGTTTTATACATGCATATACATTTTAGTCGTGGATGGACACATCTATTTATTTTTATGCGGTGCTGAGTATCAAACCCTCATGCATGCAAGGCAAGCGCTCTGCCACTGAGCCCCAGCCCCAGCCCCAGCCCCAGGGTTTCTTTTTGTGGGACGCAAGGTGCCCAACTTCCTCTTGGCCCTCATGAAACAAAGCTCAAAGCACCACTGGCAACCTGGCAGTGCCCACACGCCCAGGAGGACACCACTCACTGGAGCCGAAACCCCCCGGCCATTAGAGGCTGGGGCTCGGCAGACAGAGCGGCCTGAGCTCCCACTGTGGCACGGCCGCCAGCTGTGACTCAACTCCGTTTGACCCTTACTTAGTGCTTTTCTCAAGTGAAGCAGAAGCCACATTAAAGTGCTCCCAATGTCAGTGGCCCGATAGGCCTGCAGAGGCTGACGCAGCAGTGGTTAGTGAGGACCCGAGTCCAACTCAGAGACTGCAGAGATGAGGAACTGCAATGACAGCTTATTTTTTAATAAAATTCAGGGGTCTCCAACAGCATAGTCTGTAAGGCGTCACTACAATCCTGGGGACGTCCCCCAGTAGCACTTGTAAAGCTCAGCAAGGTGTGGCCCACGGTGAGCCTCTCCCCCAAGCCTGACCCTACAGGACAGAAGGCACCGAGCGTCTGTTTTGACTCAGAAGAGATACAAAATATTTTCTCCACATCCTACGTCATGAGGATTAATGAAACCCTGGAGGAGGTGTCACCAATGCATTGACATGCAGCGCAGCTGCCCTGGGGGCAAGCACACGGGGCCACGTGGCAGCCTGGAGCAGGTGGCCCAGTCAGCATGTTGGCACCAGGTGTCCCGAGGAGCTGGTGCCAGGCATGTTCTGAGCCTCGACCCACCGTCCCACGCGGAGCGGCCTGGGCCTGCCCTCACGGCGCCTGCTCTTACTCGAGGAGGCGCGGGCCGCCTCAGCACCCTCCGCCTCTCCTGTCGATGGTGGGCAGGCGGCACTGTTTCAGGCTAGGCTTGATGTCCTTCTGTGTGTCTATCTGTGAAAGGAAAACCAGAGACACTGACTGGAGGTTGAGGACAGGTGCAGGGGCAGCCCCCAGGGACGAAGAGCAGGACAGCTACCTTCTTGTTGGCACCCAAGCACTTCAAGGGTCTCAACATCGGGACTCTTCCGTTCATCCCAGAACTGAACACTGACTGCAGTGTGGGGCTGGAGTATGACAGCTTGGTGGTCACTCCCGAAAACCTCAATTTGGGCAGTTCCATCACGCAGGCTGGTCCCCGTCTCTTGCCGTGGTCGTCCTCTTGCCTCAGGGGCTGTTTCTTGAAACAGAACAGGGTCAGTTTTCCTCCATGGAAATCAGGAAAGGCACAGGCAGCCCTCTGCTTCCACCTTGGTCTAGTGGAACTTACTTCCTGGTCAGGCCGGGGCTGGGGCTCAGTGGTGGGGCACTTGCCTAGCATGGGTGAGGCACTGGGTTCCAGCCTCAGCACCACATAAAAGTCAATAAAATAAAGGTATTATGTCAGCCAGGCGGGATGGCACATGCCTGTAAGCTTGGGAGGCATGCTTAGGAGGCTGAGGCAAGAGGATGGAGAGTTCAAAGCCAGCCTCAGCAAAAGCCAGGCACTGAGCAACTCAGTAAGACCCCGTCTCTAAATAAAACACAAAACAGGGCTAGGGATGTGGCTCAGTGGTCGAGTGCCCCTGAGTTCAATCCCTGGTACCAAAAGATAAATTATAAAGATATTTTGTCCACCTACAACTAAAAAGTTACAAAAATTCCTGGCCTGAGGCAGGTCCTGCAGTGATGGGACACCCGCAGGTAAGGCACCCTGTGCGTCCCATGGGGAGAGGAGAGTCGTATACATCAGCCCCTCTTGGCCAGTACTCCTGGCCCACCCTCTGCAACCACTCCACTCAGTTCTGCTGACCCCATGGAGGCTGGAGTGACCAGCCTCGCCTAGCGGTGACCTGCTCTGAGTGTGGGTCTCAAACGACTTGCAGACTCTGACCCCTGTGCCTCCTGCTCTAACTGGAGGTCCTGTGCCCAACCTGCTCCAACGGTTTCTGTGCAGCTTGTGAGCTCAGAATGGGTTCCACCTTTTATTTATTTGTTTGTTCATTCACTTATTTATTTACTAGGTGGACACAGTATCTTTGTTTTATTTTTATGTGGTGCTGAGGATCGAGCCCAGGGCCTCACATGTGCTAGTCTAGTGCTCTACCACTGAACCCCAGCCCCAGACCAGGGGTTCCACCTTTTATAAGGATTGAAAGAAAACTTTGGTGGCATGTGAAATTCAAACATTTGCGCCCAGAGTTTCACTGGGTCATTCCCAGTTGGCACAGATGTCCTGTGCAGCAGCTCACCAGGCAGCCAGGAGCTGGACAAGCCAGGCAGTCTGCCCTCACAGACTCAGCACACCTCTGCTGTCACTGAAGATGGTAGGGGGGGCGGTGGCAGCAGGGCCGGCAAGTTCCAGGAGGAGCGTGGCTGAGGGGGACTCTGGAGGCCCTGCTGGAGGGAGCCGCCTGCACCCTGCGCTTTAGAGGCGTGCCTGGAGCTGTCACAGGTGCTACACACCTGGACGCAGCGCCCTGGCTGCAGCCCTACGAGCCCTCTGCTGCTGGCTGAGAGCGCGCTAGTGGTGGAGGGTGGTGAAGAGCAGAACTGAGGGAGGGGGCGTCCCTAGCAGAGCTCCGGTGCCAGCCCCAGGCTGTGAGGTTGCTGGGCCGAGCAGGTGGGTGCCCGTGGGTGCTGGGCCAGATTGTACAGGGCAGGTGAAAGGAAAGGCGAGGGCTGTGACGGGGCTCAGGACTTTCACTGGTGGGAGGTGGCTTTCTGTGCCCCCTACTAGGACATTCTGAGGATCCACCAGGAGTGTCTGCAAATGGTTCTGGCCTGGAGTAGGACAGCTGCGTGTGGTCAGCAGCAGAGAAATGCATGGAAGGGTCCCACGGGTGTCAGCCGTGGGCCCTCAGCTAGTGGGGCAGGGCCAGCAGAACCTGGGGAGATGGTGAGCAGCATGGTATCCAGCTGGGTGTGCCACTGCCCCCACAGATGGCCACCTCAGAGAAACAGGCCACCAGTGTGTCCAGCCCACTTAGTGGGCTGTTCCCCGCTTGCTGATTCCAGTCAGTACCTGCCTTCTGCCCTCCTTGGAGAACTGCCCGTTGAGACTGAGTAGTTCGGGCCCCATGGGGTGCTCTGGAAAGAAAGCCCTTCTGTGGCTGGCCAGGGCATGCTTCTCGGCCACCCTGCAGAGGAGAAGAGTGGTCACACCCAGGGTAGGCCCAGAGCACCTCTGCTTGTCTGCTGTCTCTAACTCCAAATCTGCTGTGACGAGAGGGTTCCATGAGCTACTAGGAGGAGCAACCAGAGGCGTGGGATCAGGTGACATCCAGTGGCTCTAATGCGCACCGCGGGCTCACACTACCCCACAGGATGCCCACCAGACGCTCCAGAATCCTCACCACGGGAGCCAGGGCACTGCCTGCACAGTGGCTACGCTCTCCCTGCCTGCCACGGAGCTGCTGACTGCTCCACTGGGGAGCACACTGCCCAGAACACGGTGGGTCATGGGAGGCACTGACCACTGCCAGGGTGGGGACCCTCCAGAGGCCGGTTTCCCGCCTACCGTGTGCCGCAGGGCCACGCGGAGACCCACAGGAGCCTACCTCTGCTCCTGGAAGTAGGGGTGCATCAGGGCCTGGTGGGCAGCGATGCGCTCATCAGGGTCATAGGCCACCATTGCGTGCAGGAGGGAGAGACATTGCGGGGACAAAGTGGTTGTCAGTTGAGGTATTCCTGATCCCTTTTTAAAAGGAAAATCAAAACTCATAGCTCTCGACCTGTATTAAAAGCCCAATGATAATAAAGGATCATGCCATTATTTGGAGCACTTGGTCAGTTGTCGTCCTGACTCTAAGGGGACAGTTCATGACCCACAGAAGGGGGCACGCCACCCTGTCCAAACCATAGACGTGCAATGCCAAGAGTGAGCCTAAGCTGAGCCACGGGCCCTGGAGATCAAGCCTGGTCGCAGGTTCATGGATTGACAAACGTCCCCCCCAGGAGAGATGTGGAGAGCGTGGGGCGGGGGCTGGGCATGCGGGTTAGGGACCCATGGGAAATCTTTACTTTCTACTTGATTTTGCAAAACCTAAAACTGCTCTAAAAAAATAAAGTCTGTTAAAAAGGAGTGTGTGTGAAATCTGTTATGCTATAAATTTAAGATAATGACCTTTCCTCTAAAAGATTAAAATCTCCTTCCCACATTAGGACGAAATAAAGTTTAAAAATAGAAAAAAATTAGCGTCTAGAATTGCTATCATCTTCTCACCTTCCTGGGACCTAGGGCTGCTGGCTGCTCCCTTGGCCCTCAGGGCCCCCTCAGAAGCCCTAGCTCCCTGGCTGTGATCCCACAAAACCCCAGTGGGTCTGTGACACCTTGTCTAGGAGCCAGTATCGCCCTGATGCTGTGGGACAGCAGCAGAAAGTCTCCTGTGCAGTTGGCGCTTGAGGGACCTTCTCCCCTGAGGGCTGCTAAGTCCTGTGTAAATACTCCAGGGACAAAACCCGACTCCCAAGCCGTGGGTGAGGCTGCGAGGACTTCCCACAGTGCTAGAGGAAGAGCACCCTGAGAGCCCCAAAGACACAGGCAGCCAGCCCCTTTTCCAAAGGCAGAGGAGCCCAGTAGGTGAGGGGCCGAGCGGAGGGCTTGTTCTGCTCCCACCATGGCCCACTCCAGCTGGGGCAGGAGTCCACATCTGACTCTCAGGGCTGCCACACTCACTGTTTGAACTTGGTGAGGGTCTTCTGAGCGGGTGTGCCAATGACATCATGGATTTTTGAGATCTGGTCCAGTTCATTTGCTCCAGGAAAGAGGGGCTGCAGACTGCGGGGCCAAGACAAGAGGCACCCAGGTGAGCGCAGGGCTGCCTCCTCCAGGGGACAGTCCCTCTATAGACTCCCAGGAACGGTCCCCAGAGCCATCCTCAGGGCTGGGAGCCGTCCATTCTTCTCCAAAGCCCCAGGTGTGTTTCCTGAGAGGCGAACACATTCCTCTATCTGCACACTCCTGTGACTGCGTGAAAGGAGCACATCTGCTCTAACTGCCACAGACCCATAGGGCCTGACGCCAGCCGGGTGAGTTCTGCTGCACATGGAGGGCAGAGTGGGGCAGGGCTTATGGGCAGCTGAGTTCTAAGAACACTTTTGGTTTACAGAGCTTTTACAGATTTTGTAATCGTGAATAAAAGATTCTAGACTTGCATAAACCAACCCAATCCATGTTACACATCACAAAGAGGAGCCGAAACAGCTCCGCTAGGAATGGCTTCTGCTCAGTCAAGAGCAGTATCTGCAAAGAGAGAAAGAGGGCCGTGTGGATGAGCAGGACCCAGCTCCAAGGTGGAAAACCAGGACACCCCTGCCCAGCGCAGGTTACCAGGTGGCTGGCTCCCTGAGGCTACTGCGTCCTGTTCTCCAGCACCCTATCAAACCAGCTCAGGGGATTTCAGAACTGTGCTGGTGCTCGAGGCTGCAAGGCAATCACCTCTCGGCTCTCCAAAGTGACAAGTCACCAACATGAACGCTGGCACTCTAAGGGGTGCCCTGAAGTGCGCATCTGTATGCACTTCTGTAGTGGTCAGTTGAACAGGTAGAACAATGACACTAGGTCACAATGCTCACTTGAAGAGCCACCATGAGAAAGAGGGAACTGCCCACCCCTGGGGGCCTAACTATGCCACTCCACTTGCCCAGCATGGACCAGCCTGCCGCCCATCTCCTAGGCCCCTGCTCCACCTGGAAACCAAGCCCAAAGGCCAGAGCTGGAGTGGGGAGGCCAGAGCACCCTGCTGTGCCTGGAGTAGGCCCTGAGGGCACCGTTTACCCTCCCCATGTCTGCCTGGAGGTGGAATGAGCTTGCCTCCCCTCTGCTCTGGGATGCTGGTCTGTCAGTCATTTCAGGATCAAGCCTGGAGGACAGCCCTGTTCCCCAGGAGCCTGATGGTGATGGCTCTGCAGGAAGAGCAAGCAAAGAAAGGTAAAATGAAAGCCTACTGGACTTTTGTCCTTCTGTGGTACTGGGGATGGAACCCAGGGCCTTGCCCGTTAGGCCAGCACCTACCACTGAGCCACCCAGTGCCCACCTAGGAAGCTTTCTGCGGAAATAAAAAGTTGAGTGACTGTAAAACCTGGAGGTATGGGGCTGGGGCTGGGGCTGGGGCTGAGCAGTAGAGCGCTCACCTAGCACGTGCCAGGTCCTGGGTTTGATTTTCAGCACCACATAAAAATAAATAAAGATTAAAAAAAAAAAAAAACCTGGAGGTGTGGGGGCTGGCAAGACACCCTCTGGCCTGGGCCTCGCTGTGTGATCTACCCCCTCCACCTGAGTGTGACCAGGCTGGTGGTCCCTGCTTTACCTGGCGATCTCATAGAACACACATCCTGCACTCCACAGGTCCATCTTGTATGTGTAGAAGCCATCAGTGAGGAGACACTCTGGGGCCCGGTACCAGCGGGTGGAGATGTATTCCGTGTACGGCTGCTTGGAATAGACACTCCGGCAGGACCCAAAGTCCCCCAGTTTCAGGACATCCTGCTGCAAGCAGCAAAAATCAGAGGTGACATCTCTGCAGCTACTATCATACAAACCATTTCAAATGTTTATACACTAACAGGAAAATCCTGGCATTGACACTAGCGTGGAAAATACAAATTACCACTTTGTAAGCAGCTGAATGTGCCTCTGGAGGGGTGGGGACGTGGGGATTTCTCCGTGTGGAACATGTCTGCAGACATTCTGACAGACTTGGCATGCATCTCCCATGTCTCCAGAATCTCCAGGTAAGTCGCACGCTCCAGCCACGTGTACCCTGTGTCACACCTGCCGATGCCCTGGCTCTGCAGGTGGCTCAGTTCTGGCTCACCCTGCACAGGCTCCCACAGCACGTGGCTTCAGGGGACTCGACGGTGCATCAGATAGACGCGGGGGAAAGCACAGGATGACTGAGCTCAGGCATGCAGGGGTTTCAGAGTGGGGGACCTCAAGGCTGGCCCCAGGGCACTACAGGGGAAGACCTCAAATTTGGAATGAGCTCAAATCCTGCCTCTGCCACGATAACATCTAGCGTTTGGGATGGACATTTGAATGGAGTGAATTCTGTCATATTCTTCCAGCTGTATCGACAGTTATGTTGGTGAAACTTACTTAATAAGCCTTCTTTTCCCAATTGGAAAGGGAAGAACTCTTTAAGAAACATGCTGAAATAAAAAGTTGAGTGACTAGCTAAACACATCCAGCGGGAAAAGGCCTCATAATCTACCTTTATTCTGAAATTAAGTTTCCATATAAAAATTCTTACCTTTATGAGTATATTTTCTGGTTTTACATCTCTGTGAAATATTCCATTTCTGCATTTGGAATATAAAGAATAGAATTAATTGAATCTCTTTTTTTGTTGTTTGTTTGTACTGAGGAATTAACCCAGGGGTATTTCACCACTGAGCCACATCTGCAGCCCTTTTTGCTTTTGTTGTTGTTATTGTTGTTCTAATTAATTTACTCTTTATTTTGAGACAAGCGCTCACTTAAGTGGCTGAGGCTGGCCTCAAACTTGCAATCCTCCTGCTTCAGCCTTTCGAGTTGCTGGGATTCAGGCATGTGCCACCGCACCCAGCTAACTGTACTTTATTAATTCAAATTCTTGAAAGTGAATTGTATTTTTAGTGAATATGAATACATTTTGTACATCTGAGAGCTGCCCCATCTCCCAAAGCGTACCTGTGCATGTGATCAAGGGATCTGCATAACTGATACATGTAGTGCCTGATTTTTTTTTCTGATAATGGGTGTCTTCTTCCTGTACAATCAAGGAAAAGGCAAATTATAGTCACTAATGATACATATCCCCTTTTTAAAAACATATAATCCACTTTTTAAAAAAAATTTTTTTTTAGTTGTAGTTGGACACAATACCTTTATTTTATTTATTATTTTTATGTGGTGCTGAGGATCAAACCCAGTGCCTCACACGTGCTAGGCAAGCGCTCTGCCACTGAGCCACAACCCCAGCCCCATAATCCACCATTACTTAGTAATATGTGAAAAATCTAAGTTCCTCTGTGAAAAATAATCTCAAGTAGTTTTAGGAATATGGAGTACACTTACAAAAGACATCATTTAAAATCCTACATACTGGCATGATTTCGCTTAAAATCACATAACATATGCATTTTGATTTCAGTTAGAACACTACTGAGCGATAGTCATAAGAACAAGGTCTGATAATCTTGGGTCTTCCAGGACTGTCCCCTTCAAACTGCATTAGTTTTGAAAACTTTGAGTCACTTGAAAACCTCCTGTCTTGCTGGGTGCAACAGCACTCATTTGTAATCCTTGGGAAGCTGAGGCAGGAAGATCACAAGTTTAAAGCCATCCTCAGTAACTTAGCAAGGTCTTAAGCAACTTACTGAGACCTTATCTTAAAATTTAAAAGTAAAAATAAAAAGACTGGTGAGGTGGCTTAGTGGTTAAGTGCCCCTGGGTTCCACCCTTGGTACTAAATAGAAGAGAAAAAGAAGACCCCATGTCTTCTGCGACATCCTGGCTAGGTAGAGATCTCCATTGTATTTATTTATTTTGAGACAGGGTCCATGTTACCCAGGGTGGCCATGAACCCCTGGGCTCAAGGCATCCTGCCACCTACCTCAGCCTCCCGAGTAGCTGGGATGACAGGTGTGTAGGGCACCTGGCTTTGGAGATTGCCACCAAAAGGGAAGAGAGCACAGTCCAGCAGAAGTGCACAGACTACTTGGGATTCCACCACCCACATGTCCTTCACAGAGGTACCTGGTGGCCCCAGGGCCACACTGCATTCCTACAGTGTCTGTCCCATTTCGAGGCTCCAAACATGCCACCGTGGTACCACAGGGCTACTATTTCAGAGGCCACACTTCACTTGGAGTGTTTGTAAGTTCATAAGTTTTAAACTGGCAAAGTGACCCATTTTCTCCCCCATGACCATTTGGCCCATTGGACACTGTTAGTCTCAAATTTGCAATTTCTTTTCACAAATAAGTTCAATCTTTTTCTCTACATAGCTAAATAAAAATGTTTAAAAAAAGCAAATCATAAGGGCTGGGGATGTGGCTCAAGCGGTAGCGCTCTCGCCTGGCATGCGCGCGGCCCGGGTTCGATCCTCAGTACCACATACAAACAAAGATGTTGTGTCTGCCGAAAACTAAAAAATAAATATTAAAATTCTCTCTCTCTCTCTCTCTTAAAAAAAAAAAAAAGCAAATAATAAGGGGCTGGGGTTGTGGCTCAATGGTGGAGCACTTGACTCACATGTGTGAGGAACTGGGTTCGATTCTCAGCACCCCATATAAATAAAGTCCTCTGACAACTATATATTTTTTTAAAAAGCAAATAATAAGTAATTTAAATTGTAAAATTATAAATTGTATCTAGATGCAATTAACTTTTTCATATAATATCATAACCTTTTTATTGTTTCACAAAACTTATTACCAGTTTCCTGGAATTAAAACAAAAATAATTAAAATCAAGACTGTTAGTGTTCCTGAGCCCAAGGACCTCTAGAATTTTATTATCTTAACATCCATATAAAGGCAAAAAGAAAGCAGCTTCCCTTGTCCCTCAGGGGTGCTCAGGTCCACTCTGCAAGCCCTCCTCGACCCCTCAGCCCCACGCTGGCTCTCCCTGCCCAGTGTCAGCTTGACACTCGAGACTGCCTGTGGCCAGGCCCCTTCTGCCTCTGGGGTTCCTGGACTCCAAGGCACCCCATCCCAGGCTCAGGCGGAGGCATAGAATGTTCCTCCCACCTAGGCCTACAGCAGAAGGCTTGACTCACTGCTAGGCCTGGCTCATCATCTTGAGAACAGCGCCCCCCACATCCCTCCAGCTTAAGGAAGGCTCCTCGCGCTCTCAGAGTGCCCCTCAGTACCGGCTCCAGGCTGTTCCATTTCTGAAATACCTTTCCCAACTAAGTGCACACATCCAGACCTTACTGCATAAAACTGGTATCACAGCTATCTGAATTTGAACTTGGGAAAAGAGGATCTTGTTAGAGAAAGTCTCATCTGTCCAGTCTTCCTAACTACCGGGGGTCTTTTAAAAAGCAGATTCCAAGGTGGTACATGCCTGTAATTCCAGCAGCTCGGGAAGCTGAGACAGGATGATCCTGAGTTCAAAACCATCCTCAGCAATGGCAAGGTGCTTAGCAACTCAGTGAAACCCTGTCTCTAGATAAAATATAAGAGGGCTAGGGATGTGGCTCAGTGGTCGAGTGCCCCTGAGTTCAATCCCTGGTATCAAAACAAAGCAGATTCCAAGGCTCGCACCGAGATCTGATAATAAACCACAAAGGGCAGGAGGCCAGGAGTCTTTCTCAGTGGCCTTGGCCCCCAGCATGAGCCTCCTCCCCAGGTGCCACTGTCCCCTTCCGCTGTTTCTCTCCCAAAGCCTACTCCTATTCCTGGATCAGGAGCGGCTCTCTCCCTCTGCCCCCTGAGGAAGCGTGTCCCGCAGGACTGAGGCAGTGCAGGGACAGGCAGCAGTCTGGACAACCTCAGTCCATACCCTCAAAGGACCGGCTGATCACCCACCCTCCAGTTTTTCCATACCAGATCCTAACCCCGTGGGCCTGAGAGCGTGTCTGAGATTCTCACTTTCAAACAGCCTGGAACAAAGGAAATACAGTGCCATTAATGACTCACTCAGGAGTCCCTCCCGGGCCTTCAGAGAACGCTGCAGCCCTGTCTGCTGAGCCATCCTGACCTTAGTAACTTTTGTAAGTTAATTTTTACAAAAAAAAAAAAACCCAGCCTTCATTGAGGAGGCTCCATGGAATGTCATGTATGATACCAGTAGCGGAAAAAGACTTCCCGAGAACCGGCGTAGCCTGTGGCACCTGCTGCAGGAAAACGGCCCTCCCTCCCGCTGCTTGCAAAGAGCCAGCCCTCCTCTCAGGTTCGCGCTGGGCCCTGGCACAGACGAAAATGCCCTCATGCCCACTGAGGCCCAGAGGCAGTGCCCGTGGCAGGTATATTTTTTTGCTATTTCTTTTTATTCAGTAGTACACTTTACATTTTGCGGGGAGATAAGAGGAGGAGGGCAAAAGCGTTTCATCGGAGTCCCCAACATGTATGACACTCCTGATGGTACAAGGACAGGATGAAAGGCCAGGCAACCAGAGGGAGGGTTCCCAATATTCCTAACTCATCTCTATAATTAAAATGATAGGGTGTGAGTACCAAGCCCGTGGTGGCCCTCAGTGCCAGCTGCAGTCCCAGTTCCCCGCAGGCTAGGTCATACCTACACATCATCGTCCTTTTCCTTTCTGGGAATGAAGCTGGCCTAGAAAATAGGGAACAAAAAGTTCAGCACAGTTGGGTGACAGTGCTGTGACTTTCTCCCTACCTCCCCAGCCCACTGTGCTAGGCAGGGCTCAGAGCAGAACTACCAAGGGCCTCCTGGGGCCTGGTGGGCCTGGCCTGGCCGATCCCACAGGCAGGTCCCTGGGCTGCGGCTCTCCAGAGCACAGTCCTCTCTTTGGCGATGATGACTGTAGGGTCAGCGCACGCATGCTGATTTCTGGGTGGTCTTCAGGATCTCAGCAGCCTTGCTGTGCTCAGTACCTTGGAAATCCACGCCATTCGCACCTAGAGCTTGGTTCCCTTCTTGAAGTCCTGCTCCATGTGCATCTGAGTCGGGAATCACCCTGGAGATGAAAATGCCCAGCTTGGAGGCCTTTCCTCCTGATGTTAAATCCCAAATGAGCTCCGGGAGGCTTCTTCAGTGTCACAATTCGGGGCAGAAACTGGTGGATTTATTGTCGTAGTCCAGGTGATATACTCTCATGAGGAAGAATCCACACTGGGGGATTCTATTAGGCAGGCAGGAAAAGCACTGAGCAGTCATCATAAGGAACTGGCCGTCCATCTTGGACAAGACCCACCGCTTAAATGCCAAACTACCTCAGCAGCAACAAAGCCCTTAGCCACCCTTGGCTCGGCTCAGTCAAAACCCCGTGACACCCACATGCCCCTACTGTGCCCCCTGGAGATCCAAGGGGCCCCACTGTCAGTGCCTCTCTGTGGGAGGAGCCAGAGGAGCAGGCAGGGCTGCACTGGCAGAGCCCTGCCCTGGCGGCCTGGCAGGCTCAAGGACAGGTCCTCCGGTTCTGTGCCTCGAAGCTGGGTCATCTTAGGCAAGTGAACATGGAAAAGTTTTAACTTTCTTTGAAATTCAGTTTCCTCACCTCTAAAATGGGAAGCTCAAATGAGGAAACAGGCCTGCACACCTGTGCCCCCGGCACACCCACTCAGTGCAGTTGCGCCTGAGGACTGGGTGCCGAGCCGCTCTCCAGACTCGGCCTGGGACACGCGGCCTGGGACGGGAGCCTGGTGAAGTCCAGCCCTGAGGCCAACACTGTGACAGTGAAGCCTTGGCATAGGCTCCAGGAGCTCACCAAGGAAACGTCATTGTAACATGGGGAACTTGTGCTGCTTCGGGTTAAAATTAACAGTAGGTGACCTCGGCTTAGAAGAAAATTCCAGTGACAAAAACGCTGCATCACCCACCTGAGTGGTGTGGAGACTGACAAGTAGGGAAAGCAGACGTCAATCATTCTGCGTCAAAAGTGCAAAGAAGTAACAGGAATGATGTGACATTTATTTAACTTCTATTTTCCTTCTTATTTATGCACAAAGTGAGACAGAGTAAAATTATGCAATAGATCTAAAAGAACTCTTGATCAGGATAAAATTAAAATTGCCCAGTGATAGGGCGGGGGATGTGGCTCAAGCGGTAGCGCGCTTGCCTGGCACGCGTGCGGCC